CACTGCACTCTCTTCTTTTTTCCTAACAAGATGTCAGATGTTAACCTTACTAGGGTTCCCTTGTGTGTGTGTCTTTCCATTTATCCTACTTGGACTTCATAGAGCTTTTGGGGTGCATAACCTAATGGTTTTCATCAAATTTGGTAAGGTTTCAGCCTACATTTCTTCAATATTTGTCTATTGATCTCTTTTCTCTCCTGCTGTACTTCCACAACATGAATATTAGTGCTTTAAATGACATCTCATGTTTCTCTGAGATTCTATTTTCTTTCTTTTTCTTGTGTTTTTCATATTATATAATCTCTATCAATATACTTTCAAGTTTATTGGTTCCTCTGTAAATTTGAATCTACTGTTTAATCCCTCTAGTAAATTTTATTTTTTAAATAATTTTTATTGATATTCTCTCTTTGATGATGTAGCAGAAAATGCCCCCACCCCCAGCCAGTATACTTTAGTTGCTCTTAGTTGCCCTGGTCCTCTCCACTTCGCTTTCGTTCCTGTGCCTACTGCCTCCTAGAAACAGCTGGTCGTTCTGATGCATATTATAAGAATCAGTCAAAGACAGCCAAGTACTCTGCTTCTATCCTTCCCGCTTACAGACCCTATGAAGATGCTAGCCCACCATTGTTCAGGACCTATATTTTGGTCATTAGATTTCTTTTTTTTGGTTTTGGTTTTTTTCCGGTACCGGGAATCGAGCTCACGACCTTGAGCTTGCCAGGCAGGTGCTGTGCCACTGAGCTAAATCCCCAGCCCTGGTCATTAAATTTCTATTAGTGCCCATCGATGTTAAATAAATCTGCCTCCAAATCCTGCATGATGTTTCGGTGTTTCTGATTGCCCCTGCAATGTTACACTGTCTTCAAGTTTTACTATTTCTGTCTTTTTTGTTTTTGTCTTTGTTTTTGTTTTGTGAGGTAGGGTCTAGCTATGTGGTTCAGGCTAGCTATGTAGCCCAGGCTGGGCTTGAATTTGCAGCTATCCTCCTGCCTCACCTTCTCAAATGCTAGGATTACAGGCATGCACCAACATGCCTGGTCTGTTTTACTTATTTAAGGATGGTTCGTTCTAGATTTTAAAAACATATTTGTACTGATTGCATTCATGTCTTTATTAAATCTTGCATCAGGACCTTTTCAAAGGCAATTTCTGTTGCTGCTTTCTTTTTTCTGTGTATGTGTTAAATTTTTCTCTTTCTTTACATCTTGTAATTCTTTCCTGAAAATGGACATTTTTGATAATGCACTGTGGGAACTCTGGATTCTGATCCCCTCAGTGGTTGATGTTATTTATTTGTTTAGTTACTTGGTTGTTTTGCCATGTTAAAAAAAAGTTACTCCTCCCCTTGCATAGCCTATACAGTGATGGTGAACTTTTTGCAGCTTTCAATGATACAAACAGCCTTCTTTAGCACTAGGTTTATTACCACTAGCCTATGATATTGTTATTCAGTGGCACAGCCCTGGGCAGGCCAAGACAGCAGCTCTCTCCTTGACCCCACCTACCCATCCACAGTCCTTTTGACTCTCTTCGATTTCCCTATAAAGTTTCTACCTAGTGAGCCACTATTGCTATCATACTTAGCTGTTAGCCTCCTCTAACTATTAGCTTATTTCATTGTTTTCCATAATGAACTGGGGCATAAATTGTTAAACACTGCTATCCAATTAAATGCTGCCCTGCAGGAGCACTCTTGAGTCCTGTCTTTGAGGCTTGCTCCTAACCTCAGGAGGGCTTTTCTTAGATGGCTGATTCTCTCTTTTAACTTCAAGCTGACCTATCACTTTGCTCTCATTTGTTACTACTGCTATTGTGGGAATACTAATCTCTTCTTAATTGCTCACCAGCAAGATCTGGATTTTTTACAGGGCTTTTAGGCTTGCACTTTACCACTCTTTCCAAACAAAGTCAGTCCCCTGAGAGTAAGACCGGACCCTTCCTATTCGCAGAAATTCTGCTTCACAGGAATCTGTTACTCTTGTCCTGCTACCTCTCACAGGTAAGACTATGGATGCAGGAGGAACCCCTGGTCTTCCTGGTTTGTCTTTTCTCCCCGGGCTTGAGCCTCTGCCCTACAAGCAAGCTGAGGCAGGGGTTACTGGGGCCCAGTATTTATGGACTGCTGTGCATAGGGTAGCTTCTCTCCTACAAGTAGCAGCTGGAGAGAGGGAGACTCAAATTTGTCTTTCTGGAATACAGCTTCTACAACACAGAGCTGGGAAAGGAAGAGAAGGATGGACAGATGAATGGAAGAATGGATAATCAGAGTGATTTCTAAGTTTCTAATCACTAGTTTATGAACCTAAGAAAAGGGTGATGCTGGTGTTTTAATGGTAATCAGGCTACCAGGAGTGGCTATATAGTTAGCAGGACATAGTGAAGAAACAAATATGGCATCTCTTTCTCAAAAATTATTACAAATTTCAAGGTGACAACTTCAGATCATTATAACATATTTGGGGTCTTCCCAAGCACAGAGGGGTCTATGTAATTACACAGGACACAACTGTGAAACCACCCTCGCTCACTCAGGTCCTAGAGTACAGTCCTGAGGGATTCCTGCTCTGAGAGGTATTATTCCTTAGCTGCTGCATCTGGGAGCTCCTGGAGGACAGGGTTACAAGCAAAGGGCTGGGGTAACCCCAAGTAGCTGAAGACAGATGGATAAGAGGGGCCGTGACTCAGGGCATGAAGTATCAAACATTGGGAAAATAGTCAATATTTTAAAATGCCAACATACTGCAAAAAAATGTCAACTCGAGATTTCATTAAATCTAGGGCCACATTATTACAGACGGCCAACTTAGGTCAAAATATAGGCAGACAGGGCTAGGTCCTAAAGAGGGTCAGTACAAAAGATAAAAGCACATTACAGTTGAGGCCAACATGCTTTCCCAAGAGATGTGATAAGTGGTAACACCGGGTCCAATAAAGTCTACATAAACATCAGTCACCTTGATGGGTGACCAAGACCCCTGGATCCATCCTTCCCTGAAAATTTCTTTGTTCTTCCCATGTACACTTTCTACATGACTTGCTTCCCTATTAGATCAATATTATCTAAGCGGCAGCTATGCTTACAATCGTTGGTTGATCATAGCTTTAGCCCATGTTGTATCCACCATGTGATTTTACCCTATAAAACTTTCTCTGTGAATTGGGGTCCATGACAACCCACTTGGGTCCCCTCCTGTCTCTCTCAAGAGCTGTCTCTCAATAAAATTTCCAACTCTTAACCTTCACTGTTTCTTAAAATTCATTCTTCAATTTTGAGGAACACAAGCTTGGCATATCAGACATCTGACAGATTAAGGGTTACATTTATTTCTCCTATATTCTAAAATTCCTATATCAACATTATTGTAAAGTTAGTAAGCCTACATAGCTAGCAGGTCAGGAGTTCCAGGGTTTTGCTTTTTTTTAACCTTTGGTATCACTTGATTCTCATATCCACTTTGTTAGTGCAGTTCTGGTTGGAGTTTCTAGGTTTATAGTAGTGGTTCCAGAAATCCTTTGATTAGGATGGTTTGATACGCATGTTCTACATAGGAGACTTAAAGTACTAAGTCTCCAAAACCCACTCAAAATCCTCGGATGGAGTTGCCTACTATTTCACTGCCTCACCATGACTTCTCTACTACATATTTCTGCTTCCTTCTCTACCCTCAGCACCTAAGAACAACATTAGCGAGCCTTGGTTTGACAACAGTTGGTAATTATGTCACACTATCATGGAAACTTTAAGGTTTAATAAGGACAGGTCTACTTTGAGAAATAATGATACATTCCATCATTTATTCCAAGTGATGGCAAAGGAGGGTATCCTGGTTTACACCTTTGTTTTCACTACTTTCCCCTTTTTAGAGATGATCAGTGGCAATGATAGCCACAACTGTACTTACCCTGCCCGTGAGCTTATCTCTCCATTAAATTATTCTGGTAGTTTTCAGTGCTTTACAAATTAAATATGGAAATGAGTCTCTAGAGAATGTTGTTAAAATGCAGATTGGTCGAGGAATTTCTAATAAGTTTCCAGGTGATGCCTACCATATCCTGAATAACATTAGTCCAAAATAAAAACAGGCTCTTGATTGTAATCTCTGTCCAGTTTTCCCTGAGTTTACATCAGCACACATAACCCGAGGCCTATAGTAGGCAGAACGTGGCACTGGGAAGCCAGTAATGCAGCTCCATAAGATCAGAAGCTTTTCACATTATCATGTGCTTTTTAGTGATATTTTTCATGACTTGACTGTGTAGTACTCAGGCACAGACTGCAGAGGCAACAATTACATGCTGTATAAATAAAGGAAGTTTTGTTACTCACATATATCACCTATCTTATATATTTTAGATACAGCCCAAACTCCTCTTCACTCAGTGCAGTTCAGGCAAGCCAAAAGTTTGGACACCCATGGTTTATAGCAATTGTCTACACCTAGGTAACCTTCGTTGAAGGTCATATGTACATTGACTTCAAATATGTGTCTTTTGGGGCTGGGGATTTAGCTCAGGGGCACAGTGCCTGCCTGGCAAGCACACAGTGGTAAGTTCGATTCCAGGTACCGGAAAAACAAAATAAAACAAAAAAAAGATGTGTCTTTTGATCCCTAAATCAAACCAAACCAAACAACAACAACAACAAAAACAAGGCAAGTATGAGGGGGGTGTGCCTGTAATCCCAACTGCTCAGGAAGCTGAAGCAGGAGGATCACATGTTCAAGCCCAGTCAGGGCAACTAATTGAGACCCTTTATCAAAAATAAAACTTAAAAAGGGATGGGAATGGGAGCATGATCGAAGTCCTGAGTTCAGTCTCCAGTACCACACACACACACACACACAAATCAGAAATTAGGAAAGGCTGCCTCCCAATTGATATAGGAAATCCCTGAGCTCTTATTATATCGTTTATGATTTGTGAATTACTCAGATAGGATCCCTTGTCACTGCATTTCCCTCTCCTTTATTTCTCTTTCATGAAATGTGACACACACATTTGAGCCTTTGAACATATTTAAAATTTATTGTTCCCTATTTATTTACTCCGCAGGTTACTTTTAATGCCACACAATCTCATGGTGGATACTTTCAGCCAGAGTGCAGTTTAAAACAACACCAGTGACAAAAGGAAAATACTAAACTTCATTTTCCAATATTTGGCAATATATCCATGACTTAGTGAAGACTGCAAAAGCACGCTGTTTTATTAATGCATCATTTGAACAAACTCTGGCTCATCCCTTGACTCTACATGCAGCACTTTCACCACAGATTTATGTAGAAGAAACCTATTAGTAGAATCCAGCAAATGTATTGCTAGCATCAGGGTTTGCATATTCTAAAGCCAATTTACATACAACTATGTTTTATAATGAGATGTCTTCAACATTTAAAGAAGAATTTCAGCTTCATAAGACTGATATTTAACACTTGGTCATGTAAATGGAAATTGATAAGTCAAAAGAGTGTCTCCTGATGAGAAAAAACTTCTTTCTTCATATGGAAAATCTGGAATTTAAAAAGAAGGCTGTTATTAATAAACCCTCATTAACAACACAATTTCACTGAATATTAATAACTCAAAAAGTAGGCAAAAAAACATTCGGCAGACAAAGTGAAACATTTCATGCATGTTAACATTTCTATCAGGAAAAGTCATAGTATTAAGATTTTTTTCTTCAAGTCACAGCTTTTCCTTAAAGCTTTCCAACACTTAGTGTTCTCGTCTTTGAAAATTCCATAATATTATCTTGTACAACTTAAATAGCAAACTTTTAAAGCCATATCACAAGCTATACATTTGCTGGGATTCTGTCTTCCCCAAGCAGCACAAGAGCTCCGAGGGCAGGCACCACACTTCATCGTCTTGACGGGATCTAGTGCTCAGTCACACACTGGTAATTGATTTTTCTTCCCTGACTATTTGCCATCCCCTCCTTCCTCCCTATCTTGCTTTTCTTCTCTGCCTCTTTCATCATACTGTTCTCTAACGTAGAACTAAATAATGTTTCATGGTTTAAAGGTTATTCTTCTATTTTGACAAAATTAACCCTTACACACCAAAATGTACCTTTGTAGAGTCAACTTTTCTAATTACTGTATTTTCTGAAGATAGCCTCATAATCCATACAGCAACAATTATGTACTGTAAGGGAGCAGGTAAAATTATAAAATGTAGGCCCATTGGTTCTAAATGCACAACTTTTCTTGTTATCTACTGTCTCAGACTAAACATGATAATATTAGGTAACTTACTGATTTCAGTAAAGCTTTTTGCTTATGCAAAAGCAGACAAGTTAGTAACAAAACAAATGATGAAATAAGACCCAATGGTATCATAAAAAATATCCAAGTTTCCTTCTGTCCATCACCTAGGATCAAAAATCACAGAAAAGAGAAAGTGTTAGAGGTTTATAACTATTTTGAAATACCTGTTTTACAAATATACTCCTAGTAAATGGTGAAGAACTGAGTTAGACCAGGTAAATCCTGCCATATTTGCCAGTACATAGCTACCACAGCTGTGTCTGAGTATGACATTCCTTTCATTTTTATATAGAGCAACTACTTTATTGCACCGTGACATCTCTTTAATTTCACTTAGAATATAACTCCTCCAAGCATATTTATTATTTCCTGGTATGGATCTGTTTACTATTTGACCTTGTGGATTTTTCACTTAAAAATGTTTAAATAAGACTGCTTGGCAAGTGTGAGGTCCTGAGTTCAATTCTCACTACCCAAAAAAGAAAAAAAAAAGAAAATAATAAAAATGATTAAATGTTAGGCAAATGGTTAAACAACTATGTCCTGTATCTTCTTTCCTTTTTCTTTCAGTACTGGGGATGGAACCAGGACCTTCCCATTGAGCTATTTCCCCAGTTCTTTTTTATTTTGAGACAGGGTCTCACTAAGTCACTAAGGTGCCCGTGCTGGGCTTGAACTTGCAATACTCCTGCCTCATCTTCCCAGAGTGGTGGGAATACAGGCACGATGTGCACCACCACAACTTTCAATAATAAGTTAAATGTACTTTGTATCATCTGAAGCTACAGTGAGCAAGAGCTGCCCTTCAACTAAAATGTGTGTGAGTAATGGAGTTAGTCTATTTTTTCAGAATGGATAAAATTTTATTAGCCTTTCAGTTTATAAGGTGAGGTAAAAGGAAAATCAGGTCTCCTTAACCATATTTTACACAGTTATAATAAAATGTTTTAGACTTCAGGGGTTTATTACATTTCTCAAGTCGGGATCAAGTAAGCAAGCTTTAACTCCCTGAATCTTCCAATTGACTCTTCAAAAGTAACAAGCTCTGACTAGTAACATAGGTTTGAAGGCCAAGTTTTATCACTGTTGCTGATTTCTTTAGAACTGAAGCAATGACTTTTCCATGAGCTTTTGCGTTTGGTGGAAGTTTGGCATCGGGCAGTCCTTTCTTTCTCTAAGCCCATTCTGGTTCATTCGCCAGTTGAGCCTTTTCTCCATTCACAGTTAAGGGTGCTTCATCCCACCCTCTGATAACTTTGTCTCCTCCCATCTTAAAACTTGAAGCCATGCCATTTTTCTTCTTTGAGCTCTCACTTGGATATTATTAAAAACAGTCCCATCCTGTACTACTGTTGTATAGCAGCAGTGAAGAACATCTTCCTTTTGGGGAAAGTTGATTTTATCTCTCTTTTTTAGAAGGCAGTGTGTACATTTTGATGGACACTCATACAGACTGGTTTATTCTCATTAAACGTATTTTTCACTTGTTCAGACACTTTATTCTTTCAGATGCTTGAAATGTTAACTTTCAAAAAGACTGTTATCAGCTCTAATCCCACTGCCACACACACACACTGGGGATTGAACCAAGGCTTGCACTCTGAACTACATCTCCAGTCCTATTTAAATCTTGAGGTAGGGTCTCACAAAGTCCCTAAACTGCCCAGGCTGGGATCAAGCTTATGAGCCTCCTGCCTCATCCCCTCCAGAATGCTAAGAGTATAGGCACATGCCGCCAGGGCCAACTGGAGTAGTCCTTATTTTAGCTGTCTTGGCTGTGGTTATAATTTTGCCTTATAGTTTATGCTCTGGGAATCTGAACAGTGGTCCTGTAGAAACTCGGTAGTGTCCTTTTTGGGCACCTGCATGCTATTTGCTGCTCCACTGTCCACACCTGGCCACCGTGGAACAGTTGCTGCTTCCTTTCCTGCTGCCTCTGCTTTTGTAGTTACTCTTTCAAGGTCACTCTGGGCTTTAAGAAGAGTGCTGGCTAGGGTACCCAGGCTGCTTTCCAATCAAGTGGTCCTCTACCTGAGGCTCTGTAGTAGTTGGGGCTGCAGGAAGGAGCCACTAAGCAAGAATCAAGGTCACACTTTTATATATATATTTTTATTGTTTTAAATTAATTAAGTTTACTGGTACATTTTAAGTATACATAATGATCACATTCATCATAGGGAATTTGTACCTGTACATGGTATAACTTGATTCTTTTTTTTTCTATCATTTACTCTCCCTTCAACCTCTCTTCCTCTCCTTATTTATAAAAGTTTTGTTTCCATTTTTTTCTTTTTTTCTTTTTCCCTTTCTTCCTTTCCCCCTTCCTCTCCCTATTTCCCCTCTCCATTTGAACATTTTCTTCCTATTTCACAGTATCTATTATAGATTTTGATTCATACTTAAACCTTCAGTTTCTCACACCAGAGAAACAATGCAATATTTTCACATTTCCAATTTATTTCACTTAAGAGTATGGTCTCAGGGTGCATCCATTTACCTAGAAATGTCACAAGTGTATCCTTCTTTATGGCAGAGTAGTATTCCACATTAAAAAATAAACAAATATTTATCTGTTCATCAGTTAATGAGCATTTGGGTTGCTTCCAAAATTTACCTATTACAAACTGTGCTGTTATAAACATGGGTGTGCATATATCACTGTGGTACGATGCTTTTAACTTTTTCAGGAAGATACCAAGAAATGGAATAGCTGGGTGGAATAGAGCCTCTTGTTCTAGTTGTTTGAGGGATCTCCACATTATTTTCCCCAGTTGTACCAGTCTACACTCCCACCAATAGTGGAGAAGGGTTCCTTTTTCCCCCACAGCCCTTCCAGCATTTGTTATTGATGATAGCCATTCTTTCTGGGGTGAGATGCAATTTCAGTGTTGTTTTAATTTGCATCTCTCAAATGACCAGTGATGTTGAATGTTTTTTTCATATATTTATTTGTTATTTGTATTGCTTCATCTGAGAAGTGTGTATTCATCTCAGATGTCCATTTTTGGATTGGGTGATTAAATTTGGGAGTCTGATGTTTTTAGTTCTTTATATACTCTAGATATTAGTCCTTTGTCTGAAGAACTGATGGTAAATTTTTTTTCATATAATGTGGGTCGTTTCTTCACTCTGTTGGTGGTTTCTCTTGGTGTGCAAAAGCTTTTTTTTTTTTAATTTTTTATTAT